ATGAACGAGAAAAATATTTATCAATACAACTACAAAGACACACACACATATATACTGCAGAACTTCAAGCTATTACATATGGGAGTGTATACATATATATATAGAGAGAGAGAGAGGAAGAGAGAGAGAGAGAGAGAGAGAAAGAAAGAGAGAAAGAAAGAGAGAAAGAGAAAAAAAAGATACGTATACATTATACACCTTCATCTATATGATAATCGCTAAGATAACGATGATAATAATAACAATAACATTAATAATAGTAATAATAATAATAATAATAATAATAATAATAATAATAATAATAATAATAATAATAATGTTTTATTACAGTATAGTGAGGGCATTAGATAAATAAGCAAACGTTGGAAGGATCTGGAAAAGCCATTCGTCAAGAAGATGATGTTGTTTAATGTTCAGGCATGTCATCATCATCATCTTCATCATCATCTTCATCTTCATCATCACCAACATCATCGTCATCTTCGTCATCATTCGTATCATCATCATCATCATTATCATTGTCGTCCTTGTCTTCAACATCATCATCATCTTCATCAACATCATCACACCAACATCATCGTCATCTTCGTCATCATTCGTATCATCATCATCATCTTCATCATCATCTTCATCTTCATCATCACCAACATCATCGCCATCTTCGTCATCATTCGTATCATCATCATCATCATCATTGTCGTCCTAGTCTTCAACATCATCATCATCTTCGCTATTGAATGATACCAAGGTATGATACCAAGGTATGATACCAAGGTATGATACCAAGGTATGATACCAAGGTATGATACCAAGGTATGATACCAAGGTATGATACCATGGTATGATTCCAAGGTATCAGGAATCATTTGGCTGCAGTAGTAATATATCACTATAATTATCTATACATACTAAAAAAAATTACGTTTAATAATAATTATAATAATAATATAATAATAATAATAATAATAATAATGGTGCAATATGATAGCAATTAAAAAACAATTCATTACGAAGCCAGCACATGTTGCAGTATTAGCTCGACTACTCCAGTTGTTAATATGCTAATTTTATTATAAAGAATTATGAATAATAATAAAATAATTGTCGTAGTAGTAGTAGAAGTAGTAGTAGAAGTAGTAGTAGTAGTGGTAGAAATAGTAGTAGTAGTAGTAGTAGTAGTAGTAGCAGCAGTAGCAGCAGCACAACTGCAGTAGTAGTAGTAGTAGTAGTAGTAGTAGTAGTAGTAGTAGTAGTAGAAGTAAAAATGTACGAGTAGTAGTAACGGTAATCGAACTATAACAGTGCGTGGTTCGCTAATGCATAATGTTGCGCAATGATGTAGCCTGTTTGATTGATGATTTTTTCCAAGTTGTATCAACATTTTTTGGAGTGTATGTATGTATATATATATATATACTCCATATACCACAACGAATACTGCTACCATAACTAATTCTGCTACTATTAATACAATTATAGTAGTAGTAGTAGTAGTAGTAGTTGTAGTAGTAGTAGTAGTAGTAGTAGTAGTAGTGGTAGTGGTGGTGGTAGTAGTAGTAGTAGTAGTAGTAGTAGTAGTAGTAGTAGTAGTAGTAGTAGTAGTAGTAATACAATTTTTATACTACTTGTAATTATAAAAGTTTAATTAAAATATCAAAATGATTCGCTAGCTGACGTTGAGAATGTTAAAAGACGAAGCCACATTGATTGAATCAGCCAAATATTTTATTCTTTCTTTATACTTTTATTCATTTTTTGTTTGTTCATTCGTTTGTTCATTCATCTATCATCCGTAAATTAGAATATTCATTCGTTCATTCATTCGCTCATTCATTCATTCTTTTATTCATTCATTCATTCATTCATGCATTCATTCGTACAGCATTTAAAAAATTCAAACGTTATAAATATAAACCGTGGCTATCCTATAGAACAAAAGCAAGAGTTCAAAGTTCACCGAAGAGGATTTTAGGTTAAAGGTCGTAGGTCAGAATAGATATATTTTTGGTTTGTTCTTCCATTTTTTAACAGTCATACTAACTTTTATTTTCTTCTCTTATGCGAGG